GTCCCGCGCCCGTGAAACACGGGCCGGTTCTCTTTAAATTTATTTATACGGAATCGAGAGGAGGAGTCGAGAGAAAGAAAGAGAGAGAGAGACGAAATTACGAATCGAAATTCGATCGATCCGCCACCCTTTTTTACGATCCTATCGTAATTTAAAACACGAAACGATGGAAATGGAATAGCTCTCCCTCCCCTCCTCCGTGTTTCGATCTCCCCCTTTTTCCTCGTTTCGCAATTGCAACCGAATTTTGGGAATCGCGTTATACCACATATATATATATATATATATACTCACACACACATCTCCTTCTTTTTTTCACGGAATGCGATTTTTTGACCCCTCGCGTGTCACGACACGTTCCCATACGTATCGAAATCCCGTTGGGAAACAGTATACATACGCAGCTGGGACCTATCTACTACGAAACCTCGAGTGAAATTCCTCCGGTGACAAACGGCTTAGCGTGAGAGAGCAACGTTCGTGTAAATATATAATTGCTCTTCCGGAAACGAGACGCTGTTAACGAGACGCGTAAAAATCGTCCAAGTCAAGGAGGGGGAGGGAGGGTATCTCTGTTGGTTAGAAAGACGAGTTTGTCGCCGGTTGAGAAAAACGAACGATACTAATCATAGAATTACTTTGCGCTTGCATTACCATCCATCGTTTCCTTATGATTCTCTTTTACGGCAAATTATTCTGCATCATACAGAAATTACTTGTATAATTTCCCCGGTAAACGTATAATAATAATTGCTGTAATGAAAATATGGTCTCCACGAAAGTCTCTCCTCTGCCGAAGCTTTTTAACCACGAAACGTTAAAGAAACGTTAAGGGAGAATAAATTATCGGAAACATCCCACACAACCTTCCGAAAACGAAATGAAACGAGCGTAAGATTCGTCCGCGATAATTCTAGGGAAAAGGAAGAAAAGAAAAGGTGTCCGTAGTAAAAAAATAAATCGAGCGAACGAAACGCATCTGACCACTCTAGGCTTGACCTAGGCAGGAAGAGGTCTCGCAAAGATCATCAATCCCGATCTTGGCCACCCTTCCAGTAGCCAACACCAACACCGAAACACCGAAACCTCGTTCGAACGCGGTATCCCTCCGTATTCCTCCATTCTTCGTTAACACTTCCTTCCCCTCGAAATTAGACATATCCCTCGGATTTTTCTCACGAAACGGGGAGTTGCGCGCACCGTGAAACCGAAATTAATTAATATCATCCGATATAGCTTCCGGGAACGCGTTTAATCGCGGCGAGGAGGGGGGAGAAAGTCGGGTCCGATGGAATCGGCAAGGTGGAATGACTCGTAATATCCTTCTCCCGTGTATTAATTATCAGATTGATACGTGTAAAATTTCCTTTCTTCACAGTCACAGTGAATCGTACTTCGTGCGTAACGAGACTCTTTCGAAAAAATTAAAAACATATCTATTTACGACGACGAAGAAAAGGAGGAAGAAGGTGATGCGGCGAGGAACGCCGTGAAATTGTGAAAAAAATTTCCAAATTTGTACACCCGTCGCGAACGAACGAGATAAATTCTTTTCTCCCTAGGCAAAAGTATGTATTGGATTTGCATAATAAGATCGAGGCGATTTGCTTGTAAACGCGCGAAGAAAGGTTATTAAGACAGGGCGTTTGAAAGTGGAGCGTAAGGAAGAAGCGCGTTCGATATTAGACGGAATGGTTGATTAGAGATTAGGGTTTTCGAGGAAGTTGACGAGCGAGAGAATATGGGACAGGTCCGGCGAGGGGTTCGTGGAATCAATTAAGTCTCGTCAACGCCCAGGATCCACTTAATTAGAAGCACTCGCCGTTTTTGTCGGTACTTGGTTAATTAAGATTCGCAAACAGTGTTTCAACCTTTAACGGTACGGACACGAACGCTCCTTCTCTCTTGCCTTCTCGTCTTGATTTAAGGTGAAGCGTTGCATATGTATGCGGCTTCGATTTATTTATTAACCATCTTTCGGAGATAGATACGGTTTACCTCTCTCTATATATATATATATATGTATATATGTATATATTAGCGAGGTTTAAATCGAGATCGGTTTTTTCTTTCTCTCTTCCTTCCTTCCTTCCTTCCTTTTTTCCTTTTCTCTTTCTCGTCTCGTCTCGAGAACACGGGATCCGCGTTATTGGCCCCGCGTTAATTTATTTCAGCCGATTCCATTATACGATCCTTTTTCCACGATCGATCTTAATTATATATTTATTCTTTTCTTCTTCTCGACAAATGAACAAAGCAAAACGAAACAATTTGCTTTTACCACACTATTTACCATTCAACGTATAACCCTAAAGGTTTCCAAGAATAACTTGCCATAAAATATTAACTAATACGCGAAGTTAATGGCACGGAGGGACTCGTGCTAAACCGTGTACGCGGTCTCAACCGCCATTCATCCTTGAACAGATGCACTTGAACGGTGAAGCATCACGCGTCGAAGAGAATGGACATTGAGATTTCCCTCGTCAGCCGCGAAGGTCGAGGATTTTACTCCTCCAACGAGTATCCCCCGGCAGGATAGGTGTACTCGAACGCGTCGAACGATCATAGCCTCTTCATTGTGCCGTCCGGTAGCGAAGCGAACTCTGGGGGAGGGGAGGAGTGACGACGCTCCCGTGTTCAAACTCGAAACGCTCCCTCTGCTCTTGATCGCCTCGAACGCGAATACGATACCGCGTATATATACGAATAGATAATACCCAATCACGGTGGAGAGGCTCGATACCATCGTCATAATAGCCCTAATGCAAACGTTGAATAGACCTCGTTGCTCGCGCAACTCCTCCTCTTCCTCCTACATATTTCACCGTGAATCTTTTCTTCTCTCGCTCGAAGGAGAGAGAAAGAGAGAGCAAGTGCTCTTCCCCTCCTCGTTGAAAACGTTCCATCTTCTACGCACGCGTGTCGAACGAACTCGTTACTTTTCTCCTCCTCCTCCTTCTCTCGAGAGAAAGGGAGAGGAGTTAGGTCGATTGTTCGGATACTCGGGTATTGTCGATCCGCTTATTTTTGTTTCTCGTAATGAACTATTGATCGCGAGAGTTGGCCGGCGATCCTTTCACGCCGCCACGAGGCCGCGCTCGAGAAGGCGAGATCCTTCGCGGAGAAGAGCGGTTGGTTGGGGAGTGAGACGGAGGGGGGGGAGTAGGCGCGCGCATTCACGGATCATTACGCGACAGTGACGAATTATAACGACGCGGCCGTAATGCGTCTCCTTGTAGAGCGGCCAACCGTTTTTGCCACCGAGATACCGAGATCGATAGAAGATGGAAGGGGAGGTGGAGGCACGACGAAGGGGACAGAGGGAGGGGAAAGGGAGGACCAGCGGCGACCGGTAGAGTGCGTCGTAAACCTGTTCCCCCGTTTTCGCCGCTCGGGCGAAACCGCTTTTATTTAC